CTGGCTCAGCAGGTTGCAGGCCCGGCGCTCCAGGTCCGACCCGGGGAAGCTGAGCTGCAGGTAGTGGATCAGGCGTCTCAGGCAGCTGTAGTCCGGAGGCTTCCAGAAGTCCTCCGAGTACTGATCCAACCAGGCGCCCAGGATAGAGGAGACGGTGCTGCGCACGAGAAGACACAGAACTAGCCAAACACACTCGTATCAGTCGAAATAAGCAATTTCAATCATGACTAGGGTTGGGAATCGAAAATCAATTCCAATTCCAGAATCGAATCCTTAAGGTCAGGAATCGGATACTTGTTGTAAAATTAAAATTCCACTCATCAATTCCTGTGCGCGCATCTTTTATTTTTAGCTGGAGAAAAGGAGCTGTTAAAAATGTATTTGTCTTTGAATCATTCATTCAAGAGATTCATTCAAAATCACTGATTCATCCAGTAATGAACCGAGTGAATCTTGAGTGAGTCATTGAATCATTCATTCATTAATTCCATCAGATTTTGTTTAGTTGTCTAATATTGTTTCTTCAGAATTGTGAGAGAACTACAACCTCCATTAAAAACAAGTCTCTATCTATCCAGAATCGTGCCGCTCTATATTACACACAAACAGCTCTTAATCGAGTCAGTTTTTATGCAGCCGGCTGATTTTTATTCATGGTGTTCAGCAGCAACTAAATGTTTTGACACAAAATAAATATGTTTGATATCTAAATAATTTTTTTAACCACATTGGAATCGAAACTGGGAATCGATAAGAATCAGAATTGATCAAATTCAAACGATACCCAACCCTAACCAAGACTAAAGCTGGAAAAGTAATTCTGTTGGAAGAAATATGAAAAGCAGGGAAGACAGAGGTGAACTGAGTGGTGTGACTCACATATTCCTCATCAGAGCTTTATGAGCTGATATTTGTGGGCTGTACGGCGGGGCAATGAACAAATACAACCATATTTTTCTGAATTGTTCATAATCTGTCAGTGTGTGGAGATTTTTCTCTTCATAACGTCACCGATGATGACTGCCTCACGGGCCGAGATCCATCAGAAAAAGAGCATTTCGTGCAGGACGCGATTGCAATAAAACGCGTGTGGCTCTCGGCTAACAGGAGACCAGCGGAAACGTGTAAAAACAAACAGCAGCCAGGACCTGAGGAATCACTCTGGATCATGTGCACAATCTTTACCATAACATTAAATGTTCAAAACAACACATCATTGACTGGACACTTATCAACTTATTCTAAGTTTCTAAGGTTTCTCACTGTTAATCATTCTCAAACCTGTAAAGCAGGCAGGAATAACCTTACAGTAGAACTCTACACTGATTACTGTCAGACTGTCAGAATCCTTCATCATCTGAACTAAGATTACAATCATTTAATTGTAAAGCACAGCCAACACAAATTCAGACTTAGCACCTCTATTTACTTTTGTAGTTATGATACTGTTTTTTTAAATCAAATCTTTGCGTAGCTATGAGAGGAAACACTGGCATCTAACAATGCCTTGGAAAAACAGTTAATCTTAAAAAATAAAGCACATACATAAACATATAAACATTTAAATAAAACAGTTATCGAACAATCATGTGTCATAAACTCCTGAAACATTGCAATACAATTTATGAAAGAAATCAATCAAATCTGTATGTGGGTGTTTGTGGGGGAAAAAAAAGAATAAATTCAGATGTAACCCTATTTGTACACATTGTTAACATTTTCATAAGTATAGAAATCAAGGTGAGCTCAGAACACAAAAACATCGAGATCTGGAGCTCAATAACACCTCCGATCTGAAGTTTAATGCAATAATATCTGGAGTTTAATAAGGATTTGATGAAAACTAAGCGATGTGTAAACAGTCTTCTGTTCACACACACAAATAAACTTTACAGAAAACACAGTTAACAGCATAAATCACACCTGAACGTCAATCATACCTTATAAATCTGATTCTGTAGTTTAATAAACGCCAAGGGCACGCGAGCTCTGCGCACGCACTGACGGCAGAAACGGTCTCGCCGCTGATTGGCTCTCGCTCTCTCTCTCCCTCGACTCTCATTGGCTATTGTGCGCAGACGTCAATAATCAGAAGCAAATGGAATTGTTTAAATTGGTAGTTAGGACATTATATTCCTGTGGGAAATATTCCCGAAGGCTCTTTTTGAGCTCTCACAACGCTCATTAAAAGTTTATCAATTGCATACACTGGAGAATGGCTAATAAATGAAACTCACCAAAAGCGTTGGCTCTTTAACGAATTGCTCTTTTGTAAGTCGCTTTGGATAAAAGTGTCTGTTAAGTATATTAATATAACTGTAAAAAACTGTAAAATGATTAAACAAATAGTCGTATACAGTAATAAAATACTGACCTGCGCTGAGTAAAGTATCGCGTGTCACGTGACAACGCCCGTTCGCAGGTGTTCGGAAAGAGCGGGAAAGAATTTAAACAATTTAACGGTCATTCATTGAGTTATGAAGTGAATCATTGGGATTCTTGTAGAAGCAAGATGGTCGCTCATCTCGTCGAACAGGTTTTTACTCGAAACCTTTCATATTGTTCAATAACTGCTTTTCATTTGGTCTTTGGATTTATTAGGCTATTAAATATGCCGTTTTGATTGCAGCAAAAAGTAGTCCGAATGCAGCTCTTTTCTATACAACAACAGTTTAGCGCACTAGTATTATATATGTATGTATATATTCATGTTTTCTGATGTTATAAGATAAATTTCCCTCTGATGAAGCTCAAATGTTATTCTCCATTCGGCCTACTCGAGAGCGCGCCATGTTCGTTCACAAATACTTTCAACTTTTTATTCTCAATGCAGAAAACAAATGGTATTTCAGTGCTTTAGTGAAGGGGAACTGTTCCATTTCCTTTCTGTGCTGCTTCAGAAGACGTGGAACACAAGCCCGGTGCGTTTATAGTACTACATCTGTTATATTACATCTCTTCAACATCATGTTGAGCTTGTGCAGCATTTCTGCGACTGCAGCGCTCTAGCGCCACCTGCTGGCCACAGCAGTGCTGTATCTGCGCTTCTCCATCACACTGTAACAGCACGCAGAGCTAACACAAAGAGCACTAGAAATGAATCGCACTGCATGGGTTTATTAGTTGTTTTCGCCAATATGAGAAACAGTGCATCATAAGGAAAAAATAATAGCAATTTAAACCATGAAAAAATACGAGACAAACAGAAAACTGAAAAAATTCAACAGAACTGAAACACAATCCCTTATTTGGAGTGGTATAAACTTCGCATAGATATATTCATATTTACATATTCATAATTACATGGGAGAAGAAACTAAATGTACAATGCTACAAAAAGTATTTACAAATCAATAAATACACACACACACACACACACACAAACCAAATGAAAGGCAAAAGTACAAAGGACAATTCATATTGTACAAAAATTACAAAAAAGAACATACAAAACCAGAGCGTGTGAGTTATAATAAAATCTTTTCCCTTTTTTTCTTAAATCTTTTTTGACAGTGAAAAAGACCAATGGCACCAGATATCTGGGGTGTTCAGATCCGATCTGAGAGATCTTGGGTTGATTTTCCTGAACAGGCAGTGCTGACCTCACTGGACTGAGACGCTCCTGAAACAAGATCTTTGGCCCTTTTGGTTTTGTCGTCATAAAACACAAGACATGAACACACACACAAAGACATTACAACAGGTAGCAAGCACACACACACAAACACACACTCTCACTCACACACACACACACACACACTCACTCACACTCGAAAAACCCTCATCCTCACACCTTTCATTTTTATTTCAAATGCTACGGTCGGGGTTTCACACATCAGTGTGCAGCGATGGAAACAGGGACTGGAGATATGAGATGTGGGCCGCCGAGGTGTAGCTTTACGTGAATGATTAGCGTCACAGTGAGCGACTGCACTGTTAAACCCACGTTAGAAACTGACAGATTTCAGTGTTCATCTTGTTCCTTATGCACTGCTCATATTTATACACAAACACCACCTCCTCCATCTGCAGTGGCAAGAAAATGAATTTGCTTTTAAATTACGACATCTTACTTTTATCAACTACACCAGTGACACTCGGCATCTCTGCATGTGTGAGAAATGAAAGCATGAAACAGAAGAAGAGAGAAACGTTTCGTCGGCCTGAGCACCACCGCGGTAGTAAAGAGGAACAACACTGAGGTCACTTCCTGTCATGTGACCGGCCAGATGACCCCAGCGGAGGTCAGTGGTTCACAGCACACAGCTGAAGGCGTCACAGACCAGAGCGGGTTTGGAGATCCGGGAACGACTGTAAACACACAGATCTCCTGCGCTGCTGTACTGACACAGAGCTTGGGGTTCAGAAGAGTCCCTTGGCGATCTTCAGACCTTTCTGCTTCATTCGGGGCAGCGTGGAGCTGGCCACGTGTTTGGTGCGGCCTGCTCTCGGGAAACCTCTCTTCTTCAAGACAAAGTCATAGTTGGCTGTGGAGTTCATGGCGTAAAAAACATTGGCGTTGTCGGGAATCTTCAGCTCTGTGTGGGAACACAATAACAGGACCTACGTTAAAATCAGGCCGGTTTTAGGGCCCTATGATTCCGCGGAATTCAGTCATAAAAACGGAATTTACCGTATAACGCGGAATGTCACAGAATGTCAAACTTTGGATGAATTTATCAAAAGTGGTATCAAATTGTGATAAGGACTAGTATCTGTAAATATTAAGCCACAAAAATGAGACTTAAATATGAATCCTGTGTTCTGTGTGTGTGTGTGTGTGAGTGAGTGAGTGAGTGAGTGAGTTTGTTTACTACACACACACTGAAGCGCGTGATGCTCGCGGTGATTACAGCGTCTGTCGTCTCACTAAACGAGGACATAAACACATGAACAATCTCCAGAACTGCAAACTAGAAAACTAGCCTCATATCATACACACACAGAAATGTAACGGTATTCATGGCAACCCGTCAAAATAAAAGTTCGGTTTGACTTGAAGACAGAAATATATTACTATTGTTCAGTAGAATGCACATACTACTACTAAAATTATTCAAACTAAAATCATGCAACATTTCTTCCTTTTAATAGTAAATCCCCTTTGTTTGCCAAAAAAATAAAATTAGTTTAATTTTCAATAATTAAAAGATAAATGAAATTAATGTTCATTTGATAACCAGAAAAATGTAAATACACAACACAGAATTTCTGAGGGGAAAAAATTAATTCATAAGGCTATTGTAAGAATACATTTGAATAAATGAAGTTGTTTTCATGCATTCAAATATTTAGACATGCTAAAACACAGAATTTGGTAACAATAAAACAAATGGTGAGAAAAAATTAAATATTTCATAGGGCCCAGGCGGACGGAAAAATGAGTTGGGAAAGCCATTCCAGTAATAATCGCAATGCATAGAGTTAGTGTCGCTATAACACTGATAACTAAAAGAATTCACTTGAACATATTTATTGAAAATATTTGTTTTTGTTTTAATATTATTATATTATAACACACACACACACACACACACACATGCATGCAAACAGCTTTGGTACTGTGTTGAGACTTACAGAGAAGCAAACAGGTAAAGAGGAAAAAGGTGAGAAGATTGTGTGGCTCGAGGGCATGCTCCACACGGGATTTCCTTTAAAGATATTTGCTTTACATGCTCATCTGTAGTTACTTTAAGCTATTTTTTATTACCTTATGTCCAAAACAAATTTTTCACACAAAAAACCCAACATTTTTTAACATCTTGTTGCAAGACTGTGTTAAGAACTAGTTTGATCAACTAGCAGTTACCCAGATCTTACTCTTCCGATACAAACAAGATCAATCTACCTTTTCATAACTGAATTAAAAAAGCTATGACCAGTCTTGAAGAAAATAAATGAGATGACTAACTTATTAAGACTAGTCTAAACAGTTTATGCACCCGGCCCCAGAGTTCTTTATTACTCTTGTAAGGACCCCCCCCTCATAAAAACACTTCTCACTGGATCTAAGCAAATCTCACTGGTGACCTATTTTCATCTGAAAAAAGTGAGTTGTCACTGAAAGCTGAGGAGTTTGCTTCTGTGGATGTAATGTAAAATCTGAGTCGTGAAGCAAAACCACTGATCTAGATGATTCTCTCCGTTATTTGACACTATTCTCACCAGTATGCTCTTGTACATGTTTCCGTTGTCCACGTCCAGGCTGACTCTGATGATGCAGCAGTCGTCCACCTGCTGGTTGTAAAGCGGCAGAGAGAGAGACGAGTAGCTGGACACGCCGGAGACGGAGCGCTTGTGCGAGCGGGACGCTGTGACCGGTGTGGACGACACCGAAGATGAGGAGGCACTGCTGGAGCCAGAACCTGAGCCGAGACCCGTCGCGTCCAGAGACGACAGAGACGTGGACTCCCAGAACTGAAGGACAAGACAGACAGAGAGACTGAGCACGTCTGCAGCTTCTCTCTCGGGTCAGACTTCAGCAGTGAGAGAAGAACTGATGATTCCAGAGCAGATCAAATCCACAGTCTCAGTGAAAGAAAACCATCAGGTGCTGACTCTCACACACACACACACACACACACACACAC